TCTAAGGTTTGAGCAGATGAGAGCTCTCTGGAAGATGAGACTGTGCATGCAGATACCGGCTTGTTTTCTTGGATTTTCCCTCTCCTTCCGGTTCTCTTCCTTTGATTCTGGCCATTCATCACCGTCTTCACAACCAGGGGCCCGTGGTGCCCTCTAAAAAATTGGCTAAAGCCAAATGCCAGTTCTCTTTCTGTTATTACTCTCAGCACAGCTGAGATAGGCTGGAACAGTCAATGGACATCTTATGAAAATTAAGAGAAAGCAAAAGGAAAATGAACGTGTACTGAAACTACGAAAGTATCAGGCTGACGAAGGATAGATTTTGAGCTTGGTGTAAAGTGTTGGGAAATCTAAGCCAAACAGTCAATTATGACCAGGTTAAACAATGACTTCATCTTCTCAAGCGATGAGGCAGTACTTTTTCAAAGCATTTTTCCCCCAGTGGGGCAGGCATAACCGAGTAGCTTACGTATCCCAAATGAGCCAGGTTTACTTTTGCAGATTAAGAATCTCATTTTAACAGATTCTGTATGTATGAAATGTATATTTCATGATTAGAGTTGTGTCATTTCTGACATTGTCCTCAGATTCTGGGGTACTTCATAAAGCCCAGAATGTACTGATTACCAAATAAGTGTGCCAGAGTCATAAGAATGACTTCTTTTCCAGCTCTTTCAGAATATCATTAGGACTGCATTTAAAAAATACTCAATACTTTTCAATCAATAGCAGTCATTGTTTTTGATGGTCAAAAATTTCCACCTTTGGCCAGTAGTAGCCTATTCATGTGACTCTTATGTCCTTTTGACATGCCCCTATTAGTCTTGGAGCACTTCCTTACTTCCTTAGCTCATCAAAATGGTTCAGGCTCATCTTGTACTTTTTTCTGGCTCAGATGTAGAATCAGTCACACTTCAAAGGAGTCTTGATTCTTTTTAGTGGGGAATGGTTTTTAGAGACCACAACTTGGGTGCTGCAGGTGTTCATTGCTGCTGGGTTGTCTTTAGTTCAAAACCCACTCAGTGTCTTTAGTTCTAAACAGCATGGGTTTGAACTGCACAGGTCCATTTATAAGTGTTTTTTTTTTTTCCAATAAATATAGTACTGTAGATGCATTTTCTGTATGATTTAAAAAAATTTTTTTTCAAGGTATGATTTTCTTAAGATTTTCTTTTCTCTAGCTTATTGTAAGAATACATATATAATACATTTAACACACCAAATATGTGGTTTTTTTTAAGTTCATTTTTATTTTTAAGTAATCTCTATACCCAGTGTGTGGCTCAAACTCACAACCCCAAGACCAAGAGTCTCATGCTCTACTGATGGAGCCAGTCAGGTGCCCCAAAAATTTGCATAGGAATTAATTTTTTTTTTTTTAATTTAGAGAGGGCAAGTTGGGGAGAGGGGCAGAGGGAGAAAGAGAATCCCAAGCAGACTCTGCTTAGTGCAGAGCCCAACGCAGGGTTCAATCCCATGACCCAGGGGTCATGACCTGAGCTGAAATCAAGAGTCTCAGATGCTCAACATACTGAGCCAGCCACGTGCCCCAGTAATTAATTTTTTTTAAGTAAGCTCTATACCCAGTGTGGAATGCAGGACCCCCAAGACCAAAAGTCACATGCTTTACTAACTGAGCCAGCAAGGCACTCCATTCAAATATGTGTTGATTGACCATTTATGTTATTGGTAAGGGTTCTGGTCAGTAGTAGGCAATTAGTAAGGTTTTTGGAAGGTCAAATTTATATGCAAACTTTCCACTATTGGGGGTGGGTGGGAAGGTTCACATCCTTTACTCCCCTGTTGTTCCTTGTTCAACTGTGTATGTATTTTTGAAAAAAAAAAAAAAAAAAGACAAGTTCATACTAGTTCCAAAGTTCCAAATATAATATTGCAGAATTAAAAAACCCTTAATTTCTTTGTACACTTGAGTTTTCGGTTACACTGAGAACATCTTGGTTTCTTGTGGCATTAACATTATTTGCTTTATCCCATAGTGTACATAAGGATTAAAAAAACATCAATATAGTAACAATAATGCTACTTACTGACATTTAAGGTTTTTTTTTGCAGCTCTTTTTGCCCTTGGAATATATACCACCATTGATGTACAGTCACAATACTGTATTCTAAAGCAACTTAGTAATTTTTTCTGTATTCTTGTGCCAACAACAGGATATTCAGTTAGGTTCATTTATTTCCATTCATTTTCATTTTTTCTTTTTATTTATTAATATAACATGTTATCCCAGAGTCAAAACTATATAAGGCACATCCAGAGAAGTCTGTTTTCCATTCCTCTTTCTTCCACACTGTTCCCTCTTACATAAATACTTTTTTTGTTGTTTTATCCATGTAGTATTCCTTTTCTAAATATTAGCAAATACAAATGTCTCTGTATTTCCTCCTATCTCCTTTCCTTCCTTATTCCTCATTCATTTTTATGATTAATATTCCACGGGTGACTGTCATAGTTTAAGAATGACTCCCCCCCCCCCCCTTTTT